TCTTTTCATCTTGTTTTTGCATTAATTAGATTTCCCTGTAAATCCCTCTTTCCCTCTGCCTTCTTCATCTCTGTACCTGCGCTGCATCGAGGCTCCCTGGAGAGGGCTGAAGTGTCACATCACATCAGTGAGTCAGCACAGTCATGAGCCTCATGTCAGGGATCTCCATGTTTCCAACAGTCCACCATTAGCTGGGCTGTCATGAAGCTTCGACTTAGTGCCACAAGAATCACAGCACGATGACAGCTAAATTAGTTCAATTCCACCATCGAAACGTCTTCAAACTGTTTCAGAAAGTAATAAAACTTGTAATGTGGCTCCATACAACACAGATTACTGGTATTAGCACACAGCAGGTATTTCAGCAATTTGCAATGTGACTTTCATGTTGCTTTGCATGCTGTGATGGATTTTTTTTTAATCTCAGAGAGTAGCAGGTACACATCACTGGTCATTTGGTTTGGCGCTCTGTGCCGAAAATTACTGTCAGCAGGCGAATTTCTGCAAAAGAGAGTCCTCATTAGGCCCCAATCAGACCGAGACACGTCACTACAAAGTACTTCAGACACACCTTGGTAAAACACATCAGGCAAAACAGTGTGGTGCACCTTTAAAGAAGGGCTGCGAGCAAAATGCTGTTTAATGTGATTAGCAGGAAAACCTTACATCTAACACGTCTAACAGCTAACTTAGTAGCTAGCCTATCTATCAGCACAGTAAATGGCATTTTATTCACCAGAGAGATTTTCCTGGTTGCTCATAGAACTCCATGCATGTGTTTGCCGATTAGTATTTGAATAATGGGATGACCCTCACCATAATTAAATTATGCTAATATCAATCTTTTGTCTGCATTTGTCATTGTTCCACTGTTCCTATCACAGCTACCAGCATCAAAAGTTAGTGGCTGCCTGAGCCAGGTGTGACATTGATAAATGGTGCATCTCTGCACCTTGTGCTAAAAAGTTCTGAATATTTAAACTGTATTTAGTAAGTGCTTCAAAAGCATGGCGTCCAGTAACTCGGTGGGTAGAGCAGGCACCCCATGTACAATTTCAATTTTCAATTTAATTTATAAAGCCACATATCACAATACAGCATACGACATCTCTCTGTCCGTGGACCCTCACAGCGGATAAGGAAAAACTCCTCCCAAAATAAAACTTTAACAGGGAAAAAAAATGGTAGAAACCTCAGGAAGAGCAACTGAGGAGGGATCCCTCTTCCAAAAAGGACAGACATGTAATAGATGTTGTGTGCACAGAACAGATGAATATAATAAATGAGCAAAGGCATCCTTGCTGCAGCGGCATCGAGTTTGATTCCAGCCCACTGCCCTTTGCTGCATGTCATCCCCTCTCAACCTCTTTCTGTCCTATATAATAAAGCAAAGCAAAAAAAATATTCTTTAAAAAAATGCAACACATGGTGCAAAAGAGGAGTGTGCACCATAACGTAGGAAAATTATGGTTTTGATTGCCACGCGTACACGTCTCGGTGTGATCAGACCCTCAAGGTTTGTGTCCACAGGATCTGTTATTTCTATGATTCTCATTCATTGTCTATGTAACCAGCTATGCAATGCATTCTGGTAGTGCTGCATTGTATTCTGAAAGATGGGACATCACTCCTTATTTGAATCAACTAAATCAAGGCAATTTTAAGCATTTCAGGGGCATCCAGTGAAACTTGCCTCCTCTAGAAAAAAACTGTCAAATTAGCTGTTGTTGATTCAAAATGACTGCAAAGTTAGGGTGCTTTCAGACCTAGACTTGTCTTGCTTTGGTCTGAATCAGGGACTCATTTTGTCACAAAGTTGCATACTTTCTCGCGGCAGCATTTACAAGCGGACCAGATCAAATGTCTTGCACAAGAAAGCTGTTCTTGATTGGTCAGAATTTCCATGTGGGAAAAATCCAGGAAGTAAACAAAACCTTGAAGAAGAGTACACTTGCAAGATAAATGTGACACTTTCTAATGTCACAATGGAGGGACAACTACGCAGGTTGATTTTAGCGCTGCTCATCGTGGACTATATTGCTGTCATTGTTCATTTTAGTCAAACCATACAGTTTGAAAACGAGGCGTGGCTCCAACTAGAAAACAATGTTTTGATGCACTGGATGTGCTGAATGTGCATATTAAGGCAGTACAGGAGGAGGTGCACATTAATAATCCTCCAGGACTGTAACATGCTCATGTTTAACCCAAACAATGTGTCATGTGACTGCAGTTGGTTCAGATCGAGGTCGGAACACGTTCTCACCACAGACGAACCGCACCAGAGTTTGTTTGTAACCAGACCGAGACCACCTCTTCACAAAGGTCTCGATCCGGTTGTTTTAGTGCACACCTCAGTGTGATTGCTGTGTTTACACCTGCCAAAATGAACCACACTTTGGGGGGAAAAACCTGAGTTTAGTTGAATTGAACCACACAGGGCAGGTGTGAAAGCACCCTAAGAAGCTGCATGGTTGCTATTTTTCATTAATTTTGATCTGATCATGGCACTAGGTGAACTCAACCAGTCTCTGGCACCAACCTCCCAAGGAGACAGTGGTCCAGAAGCACAGAAGAGATGACATTTTAAGAACTGAGTGAAAGGTAGACCACAAATTTATGCACTGGTGCCGACTTTTTACTCAGTATATGTGACTCTCAGCGCCTCCTCTCCTCTCCCTTCATTTCCCCCAACACATTTATCACCTTCTGGTCCTGCCCTCTTCCTCTTCTCCTCGATGCATCCAGTTATCAGTGAGAGAGACTGTGGGAGGCAGAGTCCTCCGCCACAGGCAGGTGTGCGCTCGCTCTGTGAGCCTGATCACTAATTCAGTGAGATCAAAGGTTATCCACTCAGTGCCCATTTCTAACAATGACACCCTCTGCTTGTCAGCAGCAGTATGTCAGGCCGGCAGGCAGAGCTGGAGAGGGTTTGATGCCTGTCACTGTCGAGCAGTTTCAACCCGTCACCCATTCCTGCAACCGTCACTAATTATTGTTTTCAGACAGATTAGTTTGTTTGCACCCATAATTAAACAAAAACATACAGAGATCAGAAATACCCACAGTCACACTGTACATGATGATATTTAGAGGCTGCAGCATATTTTACATTCTGTATTGCAGAATGTAACTTAAACACAGCTCTATGGGGACATACTGGTAAACACTCACTGTGACTACAGGTGTGTTGGCGTCCATGCCAGATGGAGCAGCTTGTGAATCACGGTGGTAGCAGAGTTCTTCAGGACACAAAGTAAACACATGGTTTTCTCCAAACTTATCCAAACTATATTAAAGTAAAGTTTTAGTATTCTATAAGAAAAATCTGCAGTTAGTTTATTTGGTGCAACAAGCTGCAATGAATGCAGTCTAATACAACAGACCTGCAACAGGCTAAGTCACCCTGATGTCTCGCTAACAATTACAATAACTTCCAGGTAACAATTAACCCTTAGCTAAGTCCCGCCCCCGGTCGCAGACTGACCAATCAGCATTGGGCCTGCTTAGACCAGGGTCCAACAATAACACAGCTGTGCTCCATTGACTCTAATGCAGTTGTTTCAGATTTCCTTCATTTTCAGGCTGGTTTTGTGGATTTGGAGCTAAATGTTGTGCCTGGGGCACATCGTGTATTAATGATACTCGTTACCTGGAGAGGTTGGAAAAAGATATACGTTTCTTCCCTGTTCCAAAACCAAAATCAAACCCTGAAAAGTGTAGGGTTAGCTAGCTAGCTACTGAAGATATAGCCTACTGAATGTATGTACACATGCTGCTTTTGCTTTTTAATGGTTAAAACAGTGAAACAAAGACCGACCCTGCTGTACAGGAACCAGTGAAGGGAAGCAGGGAAACTTTGCTGATATTCAACCAGCTCTGTGTCATTGCAGTGTGCGCAGATACATGTTGTTTGACTTCCCTCGGAGATCCCTGCCCATCTGGCGGCAGATGTCTGGGTTCTGGCAGCTGCACGAGTGCAAAGCCAAACACCGTTCATCTGCACACACTGTGATGCCACACAGCTGGTTCAGTATCAGCAAAGTTTCCCTTTATATTCATTGTCTTGTGTGGCTATCAGCAGTGATGTGGTGGTTCACTTTTACACTGTGATCTGTAGCCTATAGTTCGGCTTTAGCTTCGAACTATCTTTGTCTTTTTAACCTGTTGTTGTTGCTGAGTCAGTTTGACATCCTGGATATATCCTTCAAACACAGACTGTAGACCCCTCTGTCTGCTTCTCTCTGGAATTTCAAAATTCAAAAATGTGATCATATTTCATCAGGGAGTGCAGTTAGCTACAGTGTGAGCACCATGATAGCTTTGACAGCTTGACAGACCATCATAAAGGGGCGGAGCTTAGCAAAGGGTCAATGGCAATTGATTTGAATTGCAGAGATATGTAATATCCGCAAACTTGTTTATTTCTGTTGTTATTTCCCTGTTAGTTAATCCTTCATGAAGGCTAGAATGTTGTTTTTGTTGTATATAAACAATATAATAACAGATAGCGTGAAAGAACATGATGTAGCAGATGAGCACTGTTACTGTGCGTCTTTGCAGACTCAAGAGGCGTGATTCAAATCACTAAAAAGCCAGAGCAAATCAACAGGAGCATCAGTGCAACAGGAGAGGGCCTGAGGGGAAATTCAAAAAGCCAGATGATCAAATTAATCAGATGGCTTCAAAACCTCTAATTAGATATCTGCTGAATTTATGTTTTCATTTTCAGAAATCATTAGCATGCAACTCTTGATCTAATTTCTTAACCAAATATTCAGGTTTTGCAACACAGATTCAAATCAGTTTGACTGGGACATAGAGGATCATGTATTTACTTTCCCAAAAGTAGAAGCAGTGGAATGTTGGAATAGAGTCACAGAGGATTTCACTTTTTATATCAGCAGTGAATGTTTGTTTCTTTTACTGATGATTTTCCTTAACTACAATCAAAAAGTTAGCAATCAGATAACAGACGTATGAATCGTCTCTGGCACACATTATGTGTCATTGCAGAAGGCAAGATTAAGTTAGAGACAATAACAAGTTTAGAGGACTTGTTATAATCAAATCTACTTTATCTTATTGTTATACATGTTTCTTTAAAATGGAGAATGTCAAGCATAAAATCTGGTTACTTGTAGCAGGGTATCATCCTCCAGCTCTTTGCTGATCAGCCCTCAAAGTTTCTTTTTCTAAAGGCTTGTTACTGTAAAAAAAAAAAAAATTCCTTGAGGAGTCCTTTATCCTCTCCTCTTTCCTCCCAGTCAGTCTCCATTTTTCCCTCCTGTGAGCGCCTCTGTCCCCTCAGGACAGAGCCGGGGCAGGAGTGTGACAGAGCTACCCAGTTGTGGCTGATGGCGATGAAGTCAGTTTGGAGGTTTCCTCCAGAGACAAGGAATACGGAGGAGGTTGGTATTAGTGCTGGCAGGTTGCAGTGGGAGGGATGAGACTTCTCAACATCATCGCTGGATGCTGATTGAGACCTGGAGCTGTGGCTGAGGGCGGCAAAGATGGCTGCCTCCTTCAGTGACAGGAGAAATGACAGAGCTTGATGTTACTGCTGGCAAACTGCAGGAGGAGGCATAACGGCTCACAATTCATGTCCTCAGTATCGTCGCCAGGGTGTGACTGAAGTTGACAACAGCAAAACAGGTTATGATTATGAAATTAGATTTAAGACGTTGAAATGGATATAAGATATAACTTCTGTTTATTAAACTGATTGATATTCAAGTTCCTGTAACTTTAAACCACAGAAAAAAATTAGCAGCTTTTGTGAAAAATAAAAAATAGAAATCCCAGTTGGTTTTGTTTCACTTGCACAATTTAAAATAAATAGGACTTCAATGTAAAACAGCTGACTCTGCAGATGATCGTCTGATACAGTCAACAAGAACATAAACAAAACGACCTGGGCTTCAGATGGACTGTATTCTTAAAAATATGCAGCAATTATTTAAATAACCAGTGCTGATGAATCAGTTAATGAGTATGTCTGTGACATGGGCACTCAAAGCGAGAAGCAGCAGCTACCCACCACCTGACACATACATATTGTGAGGACGGAGACCAATATAAACGTAAGCAATGACAGGAATGTAAATGAGATAAAGACTCAGGTGGGAATGGACGGGTGGAGCCATAGCAAGCCAACACTTAGTGTGCACACAGACATTGCGAGCAGACTTCCCTACAAGCTGATTAGCATTGAAACAGGTGATATGTCATCAGTGAGTAAAGCTGAGATGAATCAGGTCACACCGCTGCAACTTTTCTCTGCAGTGTTCTAAGGTGGTTTTGTCTCGTTGCAAATCTTTGGTCTGATTTGGGCTTAAGGTTAGGGAGAGATCATGATCTGGGTTACATTTTCATAAAAAACCTCAATAACAGAGACTCTTGTTTTAGGTTTAGGCAAGAAATGCACTTTGGCTGAGGGTAGGGAACATGATTTTGGTTAAATGTTAACAAAAAAGGCAATTAAAAATAATGCTGTAGTCATTTCGAGTAGATACTGTATTGCAAGATCGCCTATTTTGGCAGAAAAGAAGTTGAGCACAGCGTTAGTTTAGACAGGACATGATGTCAAGCTCAGCTCACATCCCAGCTACATGAGCTGATCTCAAACAGCCCAATTAACTGATGGAGCAGCTGAGTGGTGGAAGGGAGTCAGCTGATAGATCACATGATTCTGTTCTATGTAACCAATTGGCAGATCTCATTCAGGGTGCCCTATTTAAACTGCTCTGGCCTGCCTACTGTTGCTGCTTCCTCTGCAAGCTGCTTTGCAACCCAACACCACCCCAGCTCCTCCTTTTGTTGTGTCTGACTTATGAATGTCATTTCTGATTGTCATTGATGCTGCTCTGTTCTGTTCCCGGGGGCCTTTGCTGCTGCTCCCCCTGCCTTAGGCTTTCCATGTAGGCACGTGGAAGGGCAGGAAGGTTTGCTCTCTCTGTCTCAGGCTTTCCTTGTTTGCGCATGGAAGGACAGAGCGGTGTGCTCTCACCGCCTTAGGCTTTCTGTATGGGCCCAAGGAAAGGCAGAGAGGCCCCAGAACAGAGCCATACTGCCAAATGTAATACTGCAAATTGAAATAAAGTTTTCTTTGACTAAAGTGGACTGACTGAAGTGAAATATATTGTCAGTGAATATGTTCAATATCAAAATTTTTGCAATTTGCCATACATTTAGTTCATTAGTAACTCCATTTTGTTTATAGAAAATGTAATTTACTCTGTGTTATATTTCCCTCAAAACATATTTGCTGGTTTAAATTAGTTGTATGTA